TGAGAGAGAACATCAATTGGCCGCCTCCTGCCTGCATGCCCCTCACTGGGGATTTGGCCCAAACCTGGGCATGTGCCAATTGGGAATCGAACCAGCGACCTCTTGGTCATGGGTTGACGCTCAACCACTGAGCCACACCGACCAGGCAAGAAAAGGTTTTTTAAAACCAAGCTCACTTTGTTTACTGTGTAAGCAGACAAGTGTGCAAGCAGGAAGTCCAGTTGTCCAGTAAAGACATGGTGGAGGCTTGGACAAGGGTTGAGAAGCAGTCAGATTTAGGAAAATATTTTAGAGGTAAAGGTAACAGAACTTGCTGTGAAGTGTGAAAGAAAAAAAAAAAGACAAAGCAACAAACACACTGACAGTCATAAAACATGGTAAGAAAGTATGCAACAGGACTAGCTAAGCTTTTAAAACAGAAAACATTAATGTGTAAGTGGATATTAGATGGAGGGCTTCTGGCCAACTGGTTAGGGGACTTTTCATAGAAAAGCTGGGAAAACAAACACTTGACACACACTATGGAGGAAACGGATGAGGGCATGATTCAATTACAAGGTGTAGCTGAGAATTTACAGGTAGAAGATTAATAAGTATGGTTCTTTACTCTTTGGGACATTTTTTTTTTTTTTGAGACATTTCACACATCATCTTTCAAATAAGTTTTTATCACCTTATCTAGCTCCACAATACAAGGTATAGTACCTTACTTCAGACATGGTGCCATCCATACATTCTGATTGAACTATGAAGTCTTGAACAAGCACATCACAGAGTCCTGGAATCCAGAATCAGCCATGGTAAGCCAATACCAAAAATGCATGATACTAGTTGCCTACATCACAATGATTTTTATTTATTTATTTATTTTTTTGGTACATGCCCCTAGCAGGAACCGAACCCAGGACAGTCTGGTCCGCAGGCTGACGCTCCAACCACTCAGCCAAACCGACCAGGGCAACAATGATTTTAAACTATGTAATACATATTAATAATGTCTACATTATTGGCTTAGTTTTACCTTTAGGATGTTACTGGTTTCTTTTTCTTTTTTTTTTGATACAGACTTTTCTCATTGGGTAGAGTAACGGGTGTGGTAAAAAAGGGGGTTATATAGAAATAATATCTAGAAACAGAAGTTTATATGAAGACTTCTCAGTCAACCCACTTTATCTAGGAAGGCTTCTCTCATGAGTCAGAGTTGATTTGAGAATCATTCAGAACTAACAACAGAAGGCGAGTTGATTGTTTTTCAGGCTTGTGGGAAAATAAGAACGGGTAAGTAGTGATTTTAAAACTCTTTGGAGTCTCTGATTTAGTGTATGATTTAAGCATGACTCTTCCTTTCTTACACACTAAATATAACATTAAAAACCTTGAGGCTGAAAAAAAAAAAAAAGAACTTACTGTGAGCCTGGCCGGTGTGGCTCAGTGACTGAGCGTCGACCCATGCACCAAGAGGTCGCCAGTTCGATTCCTGGTCAGGGCACATGCCCAGGTTATGGGCCAAATCCCCAGTTAGGGGCATGCAGGAGGCAGCCAATCGATGTTCTCATCAATGTTTCTATCTATCCCTCTCCCTTCCTCTCTCCCTAAAAATCAATAAAGAAAAAATATTAAAAAAACAAAACAAAAAACCTTACTGTGATCCTGAATGAGAGTGAATTTGCTTTAACAGATGCTTGAAATCCTCGTAGAGCCCTCAGAGGACTGGAAAGGAGAACACTGAAACCAGCAGTGGAGGGAAAGTGACAAAAGGAAGATTCTATTAACCAGGGTAGAGATTGACAGCTAGAGATCACGCAATATTAACTGTGAACCAGGCACCTTTCTAAGGGCTTTACCTGTATTGACTCATTTAATTCTCACAAGAATGCTGTAAGCTCGTCCTCATCTTATACATGAAGACACCAAGGCATTCAGAGGCTGGTTAAGTAAGTTGGCTGGGACAGAAGAACTGGAATTTGAAGCCAGGCATCTGACTCTAGAATCCATAATCATTTTTTTTTTGGTACTTGCCCCTAGCGGGAACTGAACCCGGGACTCTCTGGTCCGCAGGCCGATGCTCCAACTGCTGGGCCAAATCGGCCAGGGCTAGAATACATAACCTTAACCAAAGTGCTAGACTATACCTTTTTCTTAGAGAGAGAGAGAGAGAGAACATAAATTCTTGAACTTCTTTATGATTCTTCAGACTGGTAGCTTAAACTCTATGGTGGTATTTAATATGACATACGAAGATAATTATTTCCTCTATCCTTATTGTTTATTACTTTGGCTTTCCAATGACAACCATATCATTCGCTTGGATGACTCTCAGAGTTAAAAATGTAGCTGACCTCAGTTCTTTTTTTTAAACCTAACATATGTTTGCTATTTTTAAAAGTGTTGCAGTGTGGTTCAGTTGGTTGAACATCTTCCCATACACCAAAGTCTCTTCCTGTCTCTAAAATCAATAAAAACATATTTAAAAAGTAAAATTTGAAAGTATTGCATAGCTTATTCAAATTTTGAAGGAAAAAAAAAAAGAGTCCACTGGATTTTTAAGTTAAAAATCCAAGATAAACAATTAGATTTTTTGGCTTTCAAGAATATAGAAACATTGACCCAGTGATCCCACTTCTAGGAATATACCCTAAGAAACCTGAAACACCAATCAGAAAGAATATATGTTCCCCTATGTTCATAGCAGCACTATTTACAATAGCTAAGATCTGGAAACAACCCAAGTGTCCATCAGTAGATAAGTGGATTAAAAAGCTGTGGTACATATACACAATGGAATACTATGCAGCTGTAAGAAAGATCTCTTATCCTTTGAGATGGCATGGAAGGACCTGGAGAGTATTATGCTAAGCGAAATAAGCCAAGCAGAGAAAGACAAATATCACATGATCTCACTTATTTGTGGAATATAATGAACTAAACAAATTGCTGAACAAAACTAACCCAGAGACATGGAGGTGGGGTACAGACTGACAAGCCTCAGAGGAGGGGGGGATTTGTGGGGGAAGAGATAAACCACAGAACTTACATGCATGTATGCATGACCAATGAACATAAACAAAGCTGGGGATGGGGTAGGGGGGAAAAGGAGGAGGGTGTCAATGGGGGAAAAATGAGAAGCATCTGTAACAAAAACAAATTAGTAAATAAAAATTTTTTTTTAAAGAATATAGAAACAACTCACAGCTACCTGTTGGATTTAATGTTCCTTAAATTGTAGCACTTTAAGGAGTCTTCTAGAACAATTAATACTCTAATTACTAGAGATCACAAACGCTATCATAATTGAAGTCTTTTTTTTTTAAATCCTCACCCGAGGATGTTTTTCCATTGATTTTCAGACAGAATGGGAGAAAGAGAAACATAGAGATGAGAGAGACACAGTATTGGTTGCCTCACACACGACCACAACCAAGGGTGGGGGTGAGGGGTGATCAAATCGCAACTAAGGTGCCAGCTGAGGTACCCTTGACTGGAATTGAACCTGTGACTCTTTGGTCGGAGGGCTGACGCTCGAACCACTGAGGCAAATCAGTGGCCAAGGCAAAGTCTTTTTTAATCTCTTTATGATACTGGGCACAAAGGTCCGTTATGCCTGTCACCACCTCACCAATAAGCAGAGACGAGGTTGAATCTTTTTTTTTTCTTGATTGATTTTAGAGCAAGAGGAAGAGAGGGGGAAAGACAGAAACATCAATAACTGGCTGCCTCCCCTACGGGGAGTTTGGCTCACAACCTGGGCATGTGCCCTGACCAGGAATCCAACTGGCGACCTCTTGGTACATAGCTCGAAGCTCAACCACTGAGCCACACTGGCCTGGCAAGGTTGCATCTTTTATGAGCATTTATTTGAATTGCCAGCAATAGGAGAGAACAGCAGGTATATCACCTTGACAAACTGCTCTAACATCTCCTGTTAGTTGGCTGATTATTTAGAGATAGAGAAGAAAAGCTACATGCAGTGGGTATGGTAGGATGGGGACTGCAGAGTATGTGGTCAGTGTGCCCGCCTCCAAGAGTAACAATGTAGTTCATCTTTCCATGTCAAAACAATTTAACCCATTCCTGGGCCTGGAGAATGGTCAGCATTCCTGGGGCACACTCCCCCCAGGGCGTCACCATGGGGACACAGCAACCAGATCAAAGAGTACCTTCTTCGACTTGACTTATAATATCTACATGCCTTGCCAGTGCCCCACCATTCCCTCCCTGCCCCTATCACACGGAAGAGTATGAAAAACAGTGCGAAAACGATTCAACTCCCAATTCTGGAAGAGTGGAGAATGGTATTGGAAAGGGACTTCTCTGCTGGGCTTCGGGATTCCAACCTGTGTAAGCTACAGATAAACTACAAACGCGGTAGGATATCGAGTTCTGCAACCGGTCACACCCACCCGCAGCAGACTGGCAAATCTGTCATAATTGGATTCAGAGTTGCTGTTCTTTAAATAATGAGCCTGTGTTTCGGGAAAAGCTGTAAGGTTCCGGCTTCTCAAAGCCTCCGCCAGAGATGCTCGCCCTCCAACTCCGGCGCCTCCCCGGATCACCTCCGGAGGCTCCCGGCCTGCACCTGGACGTCGGCCCGGCGCCCGGCGGGGCTGGAGGGAGGGGCGGCCGAGGGGAGGCAGAGGAGCGCGATGGTCCAGTCCCCCTTAACCGCGGCCCCGCGCGGCGCCCTCCCTCGCGGGGGCTGAGACTGGAGAGGAAGTGGGGAGGCTCCGCTCGGTCCGCACAGCGGCGCCCTCATGCCCCCTCCCTTCGCCGCGCGGGGCTCCGACGCGCCCCCACCCCGGGCCTCGCCCCGGGAGAGGCGCGCGCGGCGCGGGCGGGCGCGCGGAGAGAGGCCGCGGGGAGCGTGCGGCCCGCGCCCGGCAGCGGAGACCCCAAGCAGCGCAGCCCGGGGCGAGCCAGGCCCCAGGGCGGCCCCGGAGACCCCGGCGGCCGGAAGCGTGGGTGCGTCACTTCCGAGCGGTGCAGTGGCGGCCGCTAGGAAGATGGCTGCGCCCTGTGGCTCGGAGCGGCCCGCCAACTCGCCACTTAAAATCCCGAAGATGGAGGTGCTCTCCCCCGCCTCTCCTGGTGGCCTGAGCGACGGGAACCCTTCGCTCTCCGACCCTTCCACGCCTCGGGGCGCCTCCCCGCTCGGGCCGGGCAGTGCGGCGGGGTCGGGGGCAGCGGCGTCCGGGGGTCTCGGGCTGGGGCTGGGGGGCCGCAGCGCCGCCTCGTCCTGGGGAGCCCCCGCCGCCGCCTGCCGCGGCATGTCGTGGACGCCGGCCGAGACCAACGCGCTCATCGCGGTGTGGGGCAACGAGCGGCTGGTGGAGGCGCGGTACCAGCAGCTGGAGGGAGCCGGCACGGTATTCGGCAGCAAGGCCCCCGGGCCGGCCATGTACGAGCGCGTGTCCCGGGCCCTGGCCGAGCTGGGCTACGAGCGGACCCCGTCCCAGTGCCGGGAGCGCATCAAGGTAACCGGCCGCCCGGCCCGGGGCAGCGAACCCGAGGCAGAGAGGAGGCGGGGAACGGACCTCGGGGGCGGGGCCGGTCCCAGCTCGGGGCTCCCTCCGGAGCCCGGTGGGCGACTCGCATCTCTCCGCCTTTTTCTTCTCTCCCTGGGAAGGGTTTTTTTTTTTTTTTTTTTTTCTTCCCAGATGGCCGCCAGCCCGTAGGTTTCCTGAGTTTGAAGTTGGGCGTGCCTGCCGCCGCCCCTCTTTCTTGCCAATGGAACACGTTCCTGCGCTCTGAAGTTGGTTTCTCCTTGTGCGCGGTGGGCATCCCCGAGCCCGGGCGCCTCTCACCCCACCGCAGGGGCCTCGCTTTGTTCCAGGCAGAGGGGGCGCCTAGGCAGAGGCTTACCCGGGCGGGATTGAGGAAGGGTGACGGGGGGGCCAGTGGGCCCCCAGTTTAGGAATTTTCAAATCAGTGCAGTGGCAGAGCCATACAAAAAGCGCCTTCGGATGACTGGCCTTTGTGTCAGTCGCTTTGCTTCTAACTTGAGCTGTGAAGGATGAGTAAGACTGGAGATGCTCTGGAGAATTGGAAAGGCTTGATTGGAGCCAGACAGTGCATTGTTATCGTGAAGTTAGCTTGGCTGAGAGTTGGTAGAATTTGGAGTGTCGATGCCGCCAGAGTTAGATTGGCTTGAGATATGCTTCCAAGCTCCTTCATGAAAACCAGGTTTTCCCTGCTTCAGTTACCGTGCCCGATCTGATGACGAGTAAAGCTCTCAGTGTGCATCTGGCTATCCTTGTGTATGTGAATGTTTAAGTACAGAGGCTTAATCTGGGCTAGAAATTCTACCACCAGCCGGGTTATTGTTTTGCTGTTTTTACTGACTTTTAACCTAGGCGTTCAAATTTGTTTGTATTATAATCTGATATAGAGTTGTTTTTTTTAGTTAAGCTAGTTACCTCATCACAGTGTCTGCTAAAAAATTCTGGTAGGATTCTAGTTTTCACTGAACTGCTACTCATCATAGTAATAGTATCTGTGTTCTTCTTTTCTGATAGAGATGGCACTTTTTTCGGAATTCCTTTGGAGGTAAACATCCAGTAAGGACAATGATAATGACACTGAAGGAGGAGATTGCTCCCAAGTTCAAGAGATCTTGGCTCAAGTAGTTTTCATCTGGGGACATTGATCCTTAGAGAATTTAGTCCAGAAACAAAGACATTTCAAACCTATTATCTAATGTTCAGGGAATTTGGCACCCATTTTTCAATTACAAAATTAAATTGGTTTACTTCATAACATGTACCTTTGTGTCTTTATGACCCCCCCTTTTTTAAACAGGGATGTCATTATAATAATTTATAGACAGGATTTGAACTGTGTGGGTCCACTTATACATGAATTTTTTTCAATATAGAGTCAGCCCTCAGTATCCTTGCCTTTCTCATCTGTGGATTCATTCAACCCTGATTAAAAATGGTATTTTAACCCTGGCCAGTTTGGCTCAGCGGTTAGAGTGTCGGCCTGCAGTCCAGTGAGACCCGGGTTCGGTTACCGCTAAGGGCATGTCCCTCAGTTGCAGTTTGTCCCCGGCCCTGGTTGGGTCTTGTGAGTGGCAGCCACTCGATGTGTCCCTTTCACATCGATGTTTCTCTCTCTCCCTCCCACTCTATCTGAACAAAAAAATGGAAAAAATATCCTCGGGTGAGGATAAAAAAAAAAAGCGGCAACAACAAAAAACGGTATTTTATTTTTGCATTCCCAGCTGTGGTAGGGTGAATCTGCAGGTGCCAAGGATCCACTGTAGTTGAGATTTTGGGGAGTCAAAAGTTATTTTCTGGGTTTCCACTATGTGGGGGATCATTGCTCCTAACTTCTGTGTTTTTCAAGGGTGAACTGTAGTAGCTAATAATAGCCACTGTTCTCTGAATCTCATTCATTCTTCTATTCAAGTTCATTAAGGTTCATTTGGGGCGGGGGGCATTTTTTTCCACTGTGCTGGTTAGCTTCTGCCTGTGAACTTTTCTTGAGTTTAGAAGTGCATTTTAGACATTGGTGACTGTTTTACTTGATCAGTTTTTGTCCATAAAAATTTCCCAGTCAACAGGAAAAAGTGTTGTGCTATCAAAACCTCACTGAATATAAATGTATCTATAAAATTGTTTCTCAGATGACCAGGAAATCTCTAGTTAGGTTGCATCTTTGTCCAGTTATGAGAAACATAATCTAAAGCAAGGAAAAGAGATTGAGCTTCTCTGAAGAATATTTTTTTAAAGGATCAGTTTACCTGTCTCCAAACAGATAAGACCACATTGACTTCAAGGTCTTAGACTATTTTGAGAATATGTAGATGATTATAATTGGTTCTCTGATCTACAGTAGCAGTTCACAGGGATGGCAGATGACTGTTGTTTAAGGGTTGTACTCCTTAAGTGACTTCAGCCAAGGAACAGACTTTTTCATGAATACTGTTGGTCTTAACTGTCAGAATTATAAGCTCAGTAAGAGCAAGTTATGTTCTCTTATTCACTACTGTATCTCCAGTGCTTAGCACATAGTAGGCTGTGATTACATATTTATTAAATTTACCAATTAAAGTCTAGAAGAGAATTTTGGAAAGTTTAAAAACCTAGAGCAGTGTTACTTAAAGTTGAACCCAAAGACATAGACTTTGAAACCCAGTTTGAAAAATACTGCATTGAAAACTAAGCTCCGTCCCTCTAGGAGACTTGGTATGAATGTACTTTTAAGCATGGAAGCAGTGTGGTCAGTGAAATCACAGCCTTATACAATTATGAGGTAGATGTCTCGAGTAATCCAGATTATGTTTATGAAAATGAAAACCTTAAAATATTTTCAGAGATCCCCAAACCCCTGAAAGCATTAGATCCCGGGTTCAGAAATGCCAATTTAGAACAAGTAATTCAGGAATCTCTTTTACTTTGTTTTGATGAGACCTACAAAAAGAAATTCAATAATCCTTTTTGCTCTAGATTTTACAAACTAGAAACAAAGTAAGATGGACCATGAGGAATTCTCCTACAGACTAATATAATGTGCTCACTTAAAGGTGAACTCATGTCAGAGGTCCATAGGGAAGAACACAATATGCCTTAGTTACATTTCTGGTCTAACGTATATGAATATATCTATCAAAACTTCAATCAAGAAAACTAAATAATTTCTTCTAAATTTGAAAGGAGGGAAGATACACACACACACACACACACACAGTAACTTAAGTTGTTTCTTTTTCCAGGAAACTTTTCCCTAATCATAGTTTCAACATGTTGATGTAGCAGCTTTCATCTCATCATGTGAAGGCATCAGAAAGCTGAGTCTTATCCCAGCCTCTCCCGACCACCCTTCTGAATAATCTTAAAGCACATCACTTCCCTTCTCTGGACTGTGCCTCAGTCCTCTTATCTATACTGTGGAAGTATTGAGATTGTAAATATTGAAATTGAATAGCTTTTGGATTTTGCTACCAAAGTACGATTTTAAATACTACCCAAGTGATTATGTATCTCTTGAGGTACACAGGATTTTAACTTAAAGTCAGATATAAACATTTGTGTATTGCTGCAAAGAGTTTTATTTTGAAGTCTGATATGTCGTTGTTCATGTTTATTCAATCATCTGGATAAAATGGATGTGTTTGAGACTTTTTGCTGCCTAGACTGTTGTTTGGCTTTGATGTTTTGTTGCTTTTTATTTGTTTGCCAGAAGAAAATTTGTCTACTAACAATTCCAGCCTAATTTTGGAGCCAGGTAAACAAATAGGTGGTTTTCTGTCTAGTCCTTACATGATCTTTATCCTTTTTTATAGGCCTTTTCTTCATACCTCCATTCATCAAATACTTGAGCACTTACTATGTGTAAGGTTGTCTGCCAGATGTTAGGATGAAGAAAAGAACTGTAATATACAGGCTGAGAGCTTGCAGTGCAGCCAAAGTTGTATCCACACATCAGAGAGTTAAAAGCTGTACAAGACACAGGGATGCAGTATTTGATTGATTGTCATATACTAAAATGCTTTAGTATATGTCAAATACTAAAGTGCCATACTAAAGCAGACAATAAGTGTGATGACTTCAAAGGAGGGAGCGAGCACATCACACTTCATACTGTAGTAGTAGAAAGATCTCTTTAGACTTGGAATTTGTGAAAACATTCACTTCTGAGCCACATGCTGTGTTTGCACTTCTGTCAGTTACTCTGACGCACTACAAAACTCATCCTCAAGGCCCATATTTTGTGTTTTCTCCAACAATATGCCTCTTGAGAGTTGGCTTTATGTCTTTTAAACAGATGTGTTCTAGGTCTACCTGAAGATGAAATGCAAGGTGACTACATGACCTAAAACACTTGTCTTGGCTGGATCAGTGCTGGGGCTCATCACACATATTTAAAAGTGGTAGGCAGGCTTCTACCCAGCAAACGCAGTGATTAAATATTTAGGGGCATTGTCATAATCTTTGGAACAGATTTTATACTTTAGAAGACAAATCATAGTATAGTATATTTGGTCTTTTATTTATTTTTTATTATTACTATTTTTTTAATCCTCACCTGAGGATTATTGATTTTTTGTTGTTATTGTTAATCCTCAACCAAGGATATTTTTTCATTGATTTTTAGAGAGAGAGAGAGATCGATGAAAGAGAGACACATCGATTAGTTGTCTCTGCACATGTCCCTACCCAGGCCAGGGATTGAACCTGCAACCCAGGTACATGCTCTTGATTGGGAATTGAACCCACAACCCTTGGTGCATGGGCTGTCACTCTAACCACTGACCCCCGCTGGCAGGACAGGATTACTGATTTTAGAGAGAGAGAAAGGGAGAAACATTGATTGGTTGCCTCCCATACATGTTCCAAACAGGAATCAAACCTGCAACCTAGGTGTGTGCCCTACCAGAATCGAACTTTTTTTGGTGTATGGGACGATGCTCCAACCAACTAAACCTAGTCATTATTTGTGAGAACCAATAGGGCAAAGATAAGTTGGAGCC